CCCCCCCCCCCCCCCGGCAGAAACCGCTCGAAACGCAAAGCACACGCCGGACCGTGCAATGCCCAGCGAAAGCCGTTACGCCCATCCGAGGCTGGCTAGCATATAGCACAACCAAGACCGGCGAGCCGGGGGTAGGCGGCGGGACTCACTTCCCGCGGCCTCTGGCTCGCTCCGCTCTCACTTACAACCGTGCTTCCTAACCAGTGAAAGCTCTCGACCAAACTGATCTATGTACCTTCATGCGGCTGAGGAAGTTGCCGCCTATGATGCCGCTGTTTCTCTTGGGGGGCTCCCTCACAACCACCGTACGATCCGCCTTGAAGTACGTGATGATGAAACGCCTCCCCTCGTCTTCCGGAACGCCCGTCCTGCTCAATTTTACGCATGGGTGCGTTTTCGTTTGTGGTCGTGCTTACAGCACTGCAGTAGTATCATGGGATGTACTGTAGAGGCAATGTGTACATGATACGCTAGCGCCCTTTGTCACCCCTGCGCAACTGTGACGTCTGAAAAAGAAACGAGCTACAAGCTGGAGAAGAGAGCCGCCGGATCTTTTGGAGGCGCCGGTGGTTCTGCGCTGGTCGCGCACCGTACCACAGCCCAAACCAACTTACTGCAACACAGATCAGAAGTCTACAGTAGTTACAACCCCCCGAAGTCTCGAATAATTGAATAGGAAATCCGACGTAAAACTCACTTAAGCTCGGCCGTGTACCGGAACATGACGTCCTCGCCCCTAATTTTTCGCGGCGGACTCGGGATGAGCGAGGTCGACCGCGACGCCAGCTCGTCGTCGTCGTCGCCTCCGGTGAAGCATTCCACAGACGGAGGGAGCAGGGGGGGCTCGATGACGGGAACGGACACCGGCGACGGGGGGATCGGGTCGCCCAGGTGAACGCCCTTGGTGTTGTAGAACTCTCTGGTGTGGCCGTCGGCATCCACCAGAACCAGCGGCCGCTCGTACACGTTCAGCTGTGTTTTTTGGTTGCGCCGGCAGTTAGGGTTGTGTGGAGGCGTGTCGGCGGCAGCCGTGGGAATTGGACGGACATGGTGCACAAGACGAGATCGGAGGCTACTCCTCTTGGTGGCCTACACCTCCAAGTTGTTGCCACTGGTTTTACGTGTCCACCTTGGGCAGAACGCATTCCCCTATCCACTTCCAGGCAGCCAGATATTTCGACCCTGCTCGTTTTTCAGGATCTGAGCCGGTTTGACTGTGTCGGTTGACAGTTTCTGGCTATGTTCACGTGTTGCGCGTGCACCCACGCACCCGCCCCCTAGCCCGCACGAAATACCCGCGGTATCGAGAATCAAGAACCAGACGAAACTCTCTTTGCCCATGCTTAAATCCTAGGCTACGCATAGCAAGACCGTTCTCCTGTAGTCGAAGAGCGAGCGATGTCCGCGCGCGCCGCCCGCACCTTGTGGTGGATGCCGGACCGCAGAAACCCAACTACTCCCGGTAAACAACCTAAACAACCAAGCGTTTTCCTTCGTTCACCTCCACCCCGATGTCGAAGTCGCTCCAGTGGTACGCCTCGCTCTTAGCGCCTCCGGCGATCGACTTTGGGATCCTTCCCCTCTTCACCATCACCGGGACGGGGTCCCTCCCAGAGTTGGGGCCGTGCACGGCTCGGATCTCGATTGTGTCGTCCGCCAGGAAATAGTGCATCTGGCAGACACGCGTCGTGCCACATGTAACAACACTTCAGTTTTGTGGCGTTGGTATTGCGGTGTGCAAGACGCGCGCCGGCACGAGCAAAACGGTCACAGGGGACATGGCAATATACTTGAGAGCGGCTGGTCGAGGAACGTCCAAAAGGGACCTTGCAGAGGTGAAGCTTGGGCCACTACGATCCTATGTTGCGAGCATCCCACAGGAGAGGAAACCTCGCCGCACTTTTTCAGGCTGTGCGACCACCGGACTGATCTCCCTAGGGAGCCGAAACACCGATCCTCTGGCTCGTAGGGGTTCTGGCGTGGGATTGTCTCCTGAAGCATGTTCAGGTCAGGATAATGTAGTGCGACCAACGCTTGCAGTGTTGCATCGGTTCCACGCACAACTCCTTTGTAAGGAAGTTTCCTACCATGGCCCCCTCCAATTTGCCCAAGTAACGACGCTTGACAATGACCCACGAGTGCGGTTGTGCCGCCACGCCGGCAACGGCGTTTGACGAACAGCACCGCAGCGTAGTGAACGACAAAGAAAGCCGAGACCAGGCCAAAAATCTGGCCGGTGGAAACGAGCCCATCGCATTTGTTCCATCCTCCTTCTGCATGGCATGTCAACCTACCTCAAACCGCTGTATGTCTCCGTACAGACTCTCGCGGTCGTCCCACACGGCCTGGAACCGAAGCACGTTGCGGTCGTACTTGATGAAGCCGGCCCTCTTGCTGTTGTCTACCGTGTTCCCCAGAGTTGCCTCCGCGAAGACTTTCATGTCGTTCTGCACAGCGTTGTAGTCACGTGGGGGGGTTGTGCGGGGGCGGGTAACCACGGCAAATTCTTTTTCGGCCGGGTGTTGCAAAAATCAGAACTTCGAGGAGGAGGGAGGAGGATAAACAGATGCGTGCGAAATCCTGTGGGACGAAAGCAAGATCAAGTAACCCTCGTGAATGGGTTGCCCTTACTCCTCAGAGAAGCTAGCGCGGCATGTCTCCTTGAGGGAAACACACGCAAATATATTAGTCTTGACGAACAAAATACAGCACCTCAAAACATGCAAAATAATAGTCGTGAGGAACAAAAATAGCACACAATAGTATGTTTTTGCCGCTTGGGACCGACCCAGGGGTCCTCTATCTAGACCGTCCTTTCTCCCGAACCTTGATAATCTTGTGCTGGACCGTGGGATCACATCCCGTCTGTCGCGACATGAACTCCTTGCGCTCGACTGAGTAGCGGTCGACCGGGAACGGTATCGCCGGCGCCTCGAACCGGCCCAGACGCTCCTGGAGGAGCCGGCGAGTGGTGCCGTTGGCGTCCACCACGTGAAACCGCCGGCCGTAGACCTCGATCGTGCCTCCTACGGCGATGTCGTCTACGGTGTAAGTCCCAGGTCTTCCCTTTGACGACAGCCCCCACACGTGAGAGAGGAAGAAAACGAGGGAGGATTTTTGGCCGCACTAGTCGCGGGAGGGCATACCGTACGTGAAGATACGAAGGAAAAGTCTACAATGATATGGTAAGAAAAAAGGCAGAACAGAAGCATTTTGAAAAAACACTACTCACAAACAAGACTTCATACATTGTACATCGACAGACTGCTGAATTTCTTCAGTACTGCTCGCACCTCAGGGTAGGGTATTTGATGTCGCTTGACCAACGTCCCTTGGGGCATCCCGCTGTTTTCCTGCCGGTACTCGTCGATCTGCACCGACGAGTCCTCCAGGTAGACCAAGATCTTGCATTTTCGAACACGGTGGTTCTCCAGCGGCGACTCGTCTACCGCCTCCTTGAAATACGCATCGAACTGCAGCACGAGGCCGGAGTTTGTCACGAAGCCGGCCGTGGGCGCCCCTGCTCCGGCGCCCAGGAGGGGCTGTGATCTCCCCGTCGTGGGCGCCATTCCTCGACGGATGCCGAGCGAGGTGGAGGCTGTCTTGTGTTGCAGCGCCAGCAGCACTTGCTGCTGTGGGACCTTGTTGAGAACAAGCAGCCACAGGTGAAGACGTGCATGGAAAATGGCGAGGCCGTGAGGTACATATCTATACTTCATGCAGCTGCGGGTTACTGCTGACTAAAAGCGCAGTTACAGCAAGCCTAGCTCGAGGTCAGCGATTCGATTTTCAAACTAAATTGTCACTGCTCTGCTGTGTACCCGACCGAGGTTAACATTGGTTTGGCAATTCACAACCTTTAGACTAGTCTAGTTCACGTGAGAACAAATTGCGGCGTCACTTGCGCGCTAAACCCGCGAGCGGCGTGTTTACGCCGAAAACCATTGTGTGCTCCGAACCCCTCCTTGATGTTTTCCGCGTGAGGGTGGTATTTTTCTCAAAGAACAGCTGCTGCGAGGGATAGACAGCATGCGGAGGGCATCGCGCATGCATCTGAATTTCGCACACATGTTCCTCAAGTGAGAGCCTTAAAGACTATTTACTATTAATACGTGCTGTACCTGCTCAAAGAATGGGGTTCCTTCCGTAAACCTGAAGTCGCCTCCCCGCCCTCTCAGCTTAGGCTTGTTGGCGCGAAAGTGAGGCAGGTTCGGCATGGACGTCAAGGGCTCCATATTTTCACCTCTGCGCGACCTAAATGCCCTGCGTGATCTACAGAGAGGGGCAGACGCATCGAGAGCGGCCGGATAGCCGAGAAGGAGCAGGGGCGAACATGTGCAGGGCACAGGTCCGGGAGCTCGCCGAAACGCCAAATTTGGTTCTCGAGGCGTTTTCGTTCTTAATTTTTGTGACTGCTGCACACGGACACGCGGGTTGCGCACCGCGGGTAGTACGCACGTTGCGCTGACTCACTTGTTTCCACTGCACTGCACTCGTGTGTTGAGGCCTCACTCGCGTACGTTGGCGTCAGGCTTTGCTGGTTTCGACAGCCCCTTCGATCAAGACATCTCCCCTCTCCAACGGGAGTAGATTGATTCGACACATGAGGGATGAGCGGTGTTGGCGTGGCCGGGCGGCCATGGTCGGCGCGGCCATTTCGTGCCTTCTTGGACCCGGCACCCCCTTCGTAACCACGCTCCCCACCAGAGGAACTACTGTAGGCCATCATGCTCACCACCGTATGGCTTCGGCTTCCTCAACGCCCGCTTCGTCGGCAGCGGAGGCTGTTCACTCCGTGTATCTGGAGCCTGTCTCGGAGACAACTACGCGCAAACAGGTCGGATCGATCGAAGAGGCCAAGACGGAGCTGCTCGGGCGTGTGGGTTTCCCCACGGAACACCCGGGGGCGGAGCGGCCGAGCCTCGAGGAGGCCCGCGTGGGGTATCTGGTGGAGGTGCTGGAAGGGACCTACAAGCCTATTCACACGGTCGGGTTCTTCAACTTTGCTGCTCAGGCGAGGAGGAGGAGCAGCAATCTGAAAAATAACATGCCGCATGTTTCGTGACGTAATATACCACCACCCCCGTACGATGTATGTACCTGTCAACGCACGGCGTGGTGTTTCGACAGGGCTTCACCCGAGCAGTGCTAACGGTCGGGTTTGCTGGCCTTTTTGTGTGAAAAGAGGGAATCGTTCTTGACAGGCGTTGGGATATTGTAACCTTAACTCTTTCGTGACTGGGTTCTTTCTGGATCTTCCGCGGTTTTTTTTGTTCTGCCGGGATCGAATAGACCGATCAGTCATGAGACACACACGACACACACACACTTGAACGTTTGCACGTTTGCGCACCAACAGGTTCCCACACAGGTCAACCGCACGCACCCCGTGGTGCCACAAAGGTTTAGTGCCCAACAGCAGCGTAACCCTCACGTGAAGACTGTGATGGGTGACCGATAACTACACTGCTGTACTGCTGTTGTAGGTGCTGTTGGAAACCGGAGGAGAGAGAGGAGAGGGCGCCGTATTTCTTTACCCCAAACACGATTATCACATGATGATGGCATACATGGATACAGCAGCAGCAGTAGACATACATCGCATGCACAGCAGTTCTACATGTCACGCTACCCCGCCGCCGATGCAGCACACTGGCGCAAGGCATGTGGCACCGCCTCCAATGCCACTTGGTTGGGTGGGAAATCCTTTGGAGACAAGAAGCACACACGCACGTACGGTTTGTTGGGATGCATGCATGCGAAACGAAATGAAAAAGCGGCAGCAGCAGCAGCAGCAGCCCGCGGCAGCAGCAGCAGCCCGCGGCAGCAGCAGCAGCAGCAAGCACGAGCCGCGCGAGAGATAGACTATGCCTTGTGGTGGCAGTTGGTTGAAGACGGACAAGGAAAACACTCGAACGCACACTCGCGCAGGAGAACTCGGGGAGAGGCCTCGTAAGCTTGGCCTTCAGTTCTGCAACCACATTCCGAAGGCAAGGAAGAGGGCACACAACTCAACAGCGAGAGCATGATTTTTCGTACCAGATAAAGACAGGTTTTATCATGCATGCTATCGTCCCTGAAGTCACGAAAACCCTCTCAAAAACGCGAAGGCACGGGGGCGGGTGTCTCTGTTTGACACTTTGTCACTCCTGCCACAGCCTGCCAGCACCACAGCAGTACAGTACCAACATCACCACCATGGACCCAGAGGAAATTGCTCAGTTCTGGGAGGTCAAAGCGGCTGAGTGGCATCCAGTGAATGCTCCCCAAGTTGTGTGGGACAAGCTGGTTCTCATCGCGGACACAGCACCCCAGCTCCTCCTCGAGGCGACATCCGATTCCACAGCAGGGGTGTCCATAGCGCTCGTGCGAAAAATCGCAACAAGCAGGAGGAAAAACGGCCTCATGATCGCGTTTCTGCGTGCTGGACTGAGGTCCACAGCAGCACAGCAGCAGCGCGGGATGCAGGGTGCTGCGGAGCATTGCAACTCCCAGGCTTTCAATTTTCTGTATAGGGGACGTGCTTTTGCTGTCCCCGGTCGTTACTTTGTTTCTTTTCGAGCGGTCTAGTCGTACCGTCGAGCGGTCGTCGATGCAGGTATCCACAGCTCAATTCGGTTCGAAAATTGTCGCATGTAAGAGTTATCGTGCATGCTAACATGCACGATTGGGGGGTGTAGTCACGAAAGGGTTAATGAAGGTGATCTCCATATGATCCGCCCCCCTCTTGACTTCGGTTGCTAGCAAAAAGGCTTCCTAGGGTAACCAAACCCGACCGGCTGGCGGCGAGTGACGACACGGCTTGGCCACGTCCGCCACGTCACCTTATTCGAAGTTCCACTCGTTTAAAAATCTGTCTTTGGTCCCCTACACATGTTCTTCCCATTTGTTTCCTAATTTTGGAAACAAAGATGGCGGGTGGCTGATTCGAACCCAGGGTTTCTCTCCACCAAAAGCAGACATCTCGTCGCGACGTCAATATGGAAAGGGGGAATCGTCCTCGACAGACGTTGGGAGATTTATGTATTGCTGTAAGCGTTGATAAAGGTGATCTGCACCTTTCGTTTTTGTTTTGGTTACGTTTGTGGGTTGCTACTGTTGGGGGAGAAGGCCAGTTCCAAATTCGCCTCGGATTCTTCGTGCCAGAGCAGATATGAAGCAGATATATGAAGGTCAACAGGGCCGAAATATTTGAAAACCACACCAATCTGACCATCTTCGTGTCTAATTCGGATTTCGAAACATGAATGTTCTTGGGGTAGGTACTTGGCTTGTGACCACGGAGGGCGTCCGCATCAGTTGGACTAGGACGGACATCATAAAGTACAGAGCGGAGACTGGAGCGGTTTATAATGTGAAGACAACCACAACAACAATAACATCGAATATCAGGTGCAACGCACCAGTGTGCACTAAATGCGGTCTGCTGTTATATGTGTGCGTATGCTGCTGCGAGGCTTCATGACCATCGCCGTTGCTCGACCCTCAAATTGAAATTCTACTTTGAAAACAGCAATCAACGTAGACTTTTTGCCGCTGGTCGCAGAATGACATTTCCAGGTTTTCGCTAGACGTTTCGCTGCTGTTACGCGTTCTTTCAGGCAACGATAACGATGGACTGCATCGCCGCTCTCTCGATACCCACAAGATTGACTCCGAATTCTATTGCGACATGTTTTTCCTCCTCCTCCCTTCTATTGCACCATATTCCTCCTCCTCTCTTCTCCTACAGCACTCGTCCTGTGGTATTGTAGCCCCTCACGTCGACCGCCATACGGAAACAACCCACAATCCCGATTTCCACAGCGAAACGCCGCGGTCGTGGGCGAGGATGTCTCGGACCTAAGAAAATACTGAACCTGCCATACAGCAAACACTCTTTCATTTTAACTCTACCCCTCAGGGTGAATGGGACCTGGCGTATACGAGCGCGGCGATGGTGCCAATAGGACCCCGCCTCATCGCGCACCAACAGTTCCAGCGCATCGAACCGGGGGAAGGGCTCAAGGTGAGACTCAGGCACCCCCCATCGTTTTTGCTAGGCTGCCACTCTTTTCTCTTCAGGCCGTGTGCGCATCGAGATATACTGCTCTGCGTATGCGTGTGAGCACTCGTACAGAAGACAACACTGAATGAAGGAGTTACTCGGTCAAAGAGATGCGGAGTTGGGCGCAGGTGTTGGAACGACCGCGGGAAAGTGTTGAGTGTCTCGTGATCCGAAAGTTGTGCTTGTCTCGCTTTCGTGCGTTTCCATTTTGGCATTTACTGCCAACAGGCAGTTGCGTCTTTATAGTAATAGCTGACTACATTCGGCACTCTGTGACCATGTCGAGAAGAAACATGCCCCCTCCCCCCCCCCCTACTTTCCCCCGGACCGCCGGTGTTTGCCATCGGGATTGGGTTTTCATCGCTTGGCAACGACGTTGTAAAACAAGCCGATCACTTCGTGAGCTCGGCAACCAGGTTACCGCTTTTTTTTTTTTTGCCGTTTTTTTTTTGGCGGTAACCATGAATGGTGGTCGAGTAGATCATGTTGTGCGGGGTCGAGAGCCCTCACTCCGCGCAAAGGGGGTGATCGCACTACATTGTGTTAAATTGGTCAACCACCCTCTGGGAAGTTACACAGCAGTGCTAATCACTGTCTTTGAAAGTGAAAGCACCAGAAAATGACTCAACTCATACGCAGCTGTCGTCTGTACGCAAGGAAGTAAGCACAAGATGCCGAANTTTTGCCGTTTTTTTTTTGGCGGTAACCATGAATGGTGGTCGAGTAGATCATGTTGTGCGGGGTCGAGAGCCCTCACTCCGCGCAAAGGGGGTGATCGCACTACATTGTGTTAAATTGGTCAACCACCCTCTGGGAAGTTACACAGCAGTGCTAATCACTGTCTTTGAAAGTGAAAGCACCAGAAAATGACTCAACTCATACGCAGCTGTCGTCTGTACGCAAGGAAGTAAGCACAAGATGCCGAACACCCTTAGCAGGATGCAGCGCACACTTCATGGGACTCGCCGAATACCTCACGGTGCTTCGCGCTTGGTGATTTGAGAGCCTGGTCCGGTGAGAACGCGGCGTGCCCCGTCCCAGCTTTGTAGGGATGCGAGGTCAATGGTCTAACGACTACGGCATGCACGACAATGAGTACACCCCCCCTCCCTCTACTTCCGTACGAGATCTCTCTCTCTTTCTCTCTCTCTCTCTCTCTCTCTCTCTCTCTCTTTCTCTCTCTCTCTCTCAACCACGGCGGGGGATGATTTATCCTTGGAGAAAGTCCATCTTGCCGGTGCTAAACTAGAGCTCGAAATCCAATGCATACGTTTCATTTGCTGCACAGCAGAGCATGATAGTGCCAAATACACCGCAGGCAAGCCAAGCTCCCCCTCCCCCCCTCCAACAACAGGGCAACTTGACGAACATTATCACGTGGACCCTCAAAGACGAGGGCATCGACGGACGGCTGGAGGTGATGTGCGACTACTCCTTCGACCCCCGGGGGCGCATGAACACCTCCCTCCGAAAACACCTGCTGCTCCCGGACGGGATGCCTCGGGACCCGCAGGAGCTGGTCCGGGTGCTGCGGAGGGCGATGCCCTACGAGCTCTTCGATCCCGACGGTCACGCCATGGAGACCACGGTGAGTTTATTTCTGTTTGTTGTGAACCCGTTTTGTTGCCGCTATTCTGCTGAGGTGTGCTGTTGTTGTGCTTACCTTGTTTGCGTTTTCTCATTTTTTTCTGTGCCTTTATTTCTGATTGGGCATCGACCGTGCAATGATAGCCGGCTGACCAATAAAGAAACGCGAGTTTTTTTCGTATGTTTGCTTCGTTTACTTCAAACGTTGACTGCGCAAACCGACTTGCCAGTCTTCAGCGTCGCTGACAAAGGTCCAGCCATCGAATTCAAGGCACATACTTATATACGTGGTGGGATTTTGTTTTTGGAGTTTGTGGTGGGGTAGTTCGTGCATTGCCGAGAGGAGAACAATGGTGGTACAGTATAGTGGTGAATATATCCCTACATCGGCGATAGACAGCAGTTTTTTTCTTGCTTGATGTTGGCTTGTGTGCCGTGTGACACGAGATCACCATTGGTTGAGCATGAGTTTGTTGTATTCTTTTCTGAACATATTATGCACAGCCTCCAATCGTGAGGAGACGGACTGGGTGGGTTCGGGAAACAGGACGAAGAGCTATTCCATCGCTGACATCGTTTTGAGGTGAACTCCAAGAAGCGCTAAGACTAGCAGCAGCAGCGGCAGCAGCAGCAGCAGACACAAAGCCCTCAAAGGGTGTTTCGCATGTGTCACGATCCCCACAACACGATCTCCATTTTTATAGCCTGCCCGTCGCAACTTGCCGTTCGTCCATCCCGCCAGTTCCTCGATGACACCCTACGCATCGTGAAGCACAGAGGGCCCAAGTTTGAAGGCTTGGTCAACATCTTCGCGCGCCGCGCCACCAAGGACAACACCACTGACGCCGAGGCAGGCTGAGAAAAATATCCAGGGGCTGAAGCGACAACGCGAAAAGCTAGCTGGTTGGTCTACGTTTGAGGGCGCCGATGGAGGCGAGCAAGGAAGAGACGGCAGGCGGTAGTGGCAGAGGCGGAAGCTATGTCAGATACTCGGGAAGGGTCGGGATAGGGTTCACCAGTAGGGAGGGATGTTCTGAGAAGGGTGGGTCAGACGAACCCCTATTGAGTTAGATATTGGTGGGCCTCTTTTGACACCGTCCGGGCCCCGCACCAGCACATGTCCGAGCGGCGGGCGAGCGTGTCCACAGGCGTTGTAAATATCAACGAAAAGTACGGCACTGTCTCGTGTCGTTGTTGGCCGCTTTGCTGCTGGTAGAGTCAGCGTCGTGCCGGGAAGAATGACTGATGCACTCGTAGGCTAGGAAAGGGGTGCTGAATAGTTTCCAGACACTTGGGGCGGGGGGGGGGGGAAGGTAATGCAGACATGCGTTTTTGTCCTTGTTTGGTTCATTTGGTGATTTTGTTCCAAGGCACGAAGTAGCGGCGTCACGTGTTGATGTGTAGTGATGAACGCCATGAAACATTTCACGGCGTGGCCTGACGCCTCCGTACGATGCTGACGTCGCTCCTGTTATTAATAGTGTTCCTGTGTGTCGCGGTTGAAGGGCGGCGTAGAACCACCCTATCGAGCGGTTATATTGATGTGGGCAGAAGTGATGAGTTTTTGTCGGCATTACACGCCCAAGGGATACATAATAAGAGAACACGCCTGGGACGTACACATGTTGGGTGCGTGCAGAAGCTCTGTTTTCCCGCGACGAAGGACGCTGAAGTCCTGATACGTGCCACCGGCCAAGGGTAGCACGCGTCGTGGGCTGGCACACAACGGACGCTCGACCTCAACCACCGCCGCTTGTGTGTAGCCGAGGTGTTTGGATGCGTTTTAGATGGTTTGCCTTTATCATTATTTTTTGCTCGACAGAGCGACACGTTCATGTGTGTAGGACATCTGACAACGCAGCATTTTGTGTGTCGCGCAGACCCGAGCATCGCGGGACACGAAAATACGGAACCCAAACGAACCCTCTGTAAATAACGCGTCCTCCGGGAGCAAACTCTGGTTCTGGTTGGAGTACACGTGAATACAGCAGTTATGACATCATGACAATCAACGCGCCGCAGCGACATTGGTATTGGATACGGGTGCCGCACACACTTCACGCGCTGCTTACACGCGCTGCTCTCCGCACACAAAACGCAAAAACACCACTCGTTTATTGGTTGTTTCGGACACAACTAATGGTTGTCCATTTCCTTATTAAATAAGAAAAAAAAAAACTCAAATCCTCGGAGTAAGAGTAAAGAGATGAAGTAAATAGTGCACATGGTCTACCAAGCCAACCCTCCACCAACAACACACCACCCTACCGTCCCGTGGTATATAGCTCCCCTCGCGGGTACCAGACTCACGAAGCTTCTTAATTTATCTCCTGCCTTTTAACTTCGACCGCAAGCATCCTTTTTGGACTGAAGCGTCCCGACCAACTACCAACAACGCCCCCGTCACACATCACGGCGGGCGCCCCTCTGTGCACACAGGGCAGGAGGAAGAAGGCGCTTGGGTGACGCAGCACCTCGTGCCTGAAGGGTGACACAACCCTCGTTCGGCAGCGTAGGGATACCTGTACGGTATGGCAGGCCTACGCCGACACGCGTACGGCCTTGGCGAATACCCCACTACTTGGGGCTCCTCTGACGGTATCTTCAGTGTCGTCACTCACACACTCAATCGTCCCGGTCGTGACTTCGCTACAAAAGTTGATAAAAAAGGACACACACACACGTGCCGCGCCCCCACCCTCATCGAGCGCTTTACAGGCATCGAGGGGGTATGGGTTGAAGATTCGGAGGCGCGGCAACATATAGACTACAGCCACATGCACACGTAACGGGTACACACAACCCCACACGCCCCTGACTAACTTCAACGTAAAATAGAGACCCTTCGACCGGAAAGAGAAGGAGGAACAGGAGCTGGAAAATAACACAGACGGCTGATGCCTTTGTTTCCCAAGTTAACCCCCGGTTGAACACTTGATGTGCGTCTTCGCAACAAACAAAGAAGAGTTACAATTCATGAGTACGCCCACCCCCTCCCCCCCCCGCGGCATACGATGGGTTAACAACCCTTCTTAAGAATAATTGAAGAACAACATTGATGAGGCGCACTCTTTTACCTGTTCCCACTTATTCCATGGGTACTCAGGCTTAGTGCGCGTTTACAAATTCAAGACTGTTCCTTATGCGTTCTTCCCCTACATAATAACCCTTCTCTTAGATGGTACAAACAAATTCGAAAAAATATTCCTCTTGTAGCGGGGGCGGCGGCGGAACGCTTCGCCCGCCCCCTCCCCCTGCTCGCTTCTTGGCGCGACTACAAAAAGTGAACACCCTTTTGGGGGCCAGCAAGGCAGGACGCTTTTCGTCCTCTCGTCAAGCGTAGATGACCGATTCCCATCATCCTGGCCAACAACACGCCGCGTGTCCCAGACAACCTGCCTCCCGCGTGCGTAGCTCTAACGACACGCGAGGTGTCAGGGGCGAAATATCCCCATCAAGAACAGGCCTCTCGCCTCAGACAGGGGGAGGCGGGGGGGNGGGGGGGGGGGGGGGGGGTATACTAGCGCCACAAGCGAAGAAACAAACAAAGCGGAGGCAACAGGTTGCCTCTGATGCACAAGTGATGTCAACAACAGATGAGGGCGTGGCCCGGACCCGCATACGCCAACACGGCCACAACCAAGACAACCCAAGGGACAACGACCACCCCCTACCGTGCAAGGTTCCGTGCGCTATGAAAACGAGAGGTACGGGCCTATTTACTTCAGTATCCCTTGAGTTTTTTCTATGACGGGCGGGCACGGACGGCGACCGCATGTTCACGCACAACTGCAACATCGATTCAATTCGATCGTCACAAAACAAAACCGGCACACTTTGCCTGAACGGCAGCCGCAGCCCTACCAGATCAACCCGCCTCGCTCATGTACGACGACCAGGGACAGCGTGCGTCGGGGCGTACTATATGTACACGCATCTTGGCCAATAAGAACGATTTCCCGGGGGAGATGCATCGACGCAAGGCCAATCGGAGGGGACGGAGAGAGAGAGAGAGAGAGAGAGAGAGAGAGAGCAAACGCAAGGGTCGAACGAGGCGCTACTGCTGCCTCCACAATATACCTCCACAGCTTCCACACCTCCTTCGCATGTCGCTCGCTGTGCGGCGGCGCAGTCTCCTCGGTGGTGGACTGAGCTTGACTGCTGCGCGTCTTCGCGTGCAACACGTTTTCTTCTCTCCGTGGTAGGGGCTTCTGCTCCCCCCCCCCGTTCTCCGCTTCCCTTATCGTGTAGATTCTTCCATGACAACGGGGACACCAACGGCGGCCACCTGGCGGTCACTTTCATGCTACAGCAGTCCCCCCCTCCCCCTTCCATCACGAGCACTACGATACCGCCGCCGTCCGTTGTCAACACACCATCACAACACCACAGCCCACACCGTCATCGCCCGCGGAAGAAGAGCCCAACGCGCCCCCCCACAGAGGATCAATCCTCCTCCATCATCCGAGCTCGACCTGGGTGTGCTTGATGCTCCATCCTTGATGCTTCGTTCTGCCTTCTGAAATCATTTTCAATAGAATCGACGCTCTAACTTCCCCACGCGCGCCGGCGTCCCACCCGCCAGGCCGCCCTACGCCCTCTCCATCCATCCGGGCGTCCCCCAAAGTGTCATCTCCTGCCGCGCGTGCTGCAGCACTTGCGCACTCCCCCGGTCGCAGTCTACCTGTTGGCGCCCCCGGAAAAAAAAAAATGCCCGCCCCCTCCCCCCCCCCCCCCCCCACCCCCCCGCAGCCGTACTTTGCACAGTGAAATGTTCGGAATNTGGCCAAGGGTAATAGTCAAGTCCAACACTGCGAGGGAGCAAAAAAAAACGAGCGCGGAGGGAGGTGAGCTACTGGTAAGAGACACGGTGAGGGACACACACAGACGGTGTAAGCGGGGTAACACACACCAATGATCATTTTCTTCCCTCGAAAGGTAGTGATGTGTCTAAGCTGTTCGGCGGGTAGGCAGGGGAGCGTGCGGAGGTTTTGAGGAACCCCGTTGTCTGCCGTCGCAGCGGCTATTTCGCTATGAAACAACCGTCACCCTCGTTTGGTAAAAGATGCGTCCTCGTAGGGCAAAAGATGCGTCCTGAACACCGCTACGGGGGAGCGAGACACGGCAGCAGCAGCTATGCATACGAAAGTCGCACAACTCGCGCGTTGCATCCTGGCACTCCTCATGCCGCACCTTTTTGAAGGACTCCCACAGCTTCGTCTATATGTTTTTGATATCGGTTCCGATTCGCCGCCCTGGAGGGATGAACGTGAACAAACAAGCCGTGGGGGGGGGGCAAGGAGGCGTGAGTGCACGAATTCGACGGCGGCGCGGGGGCGGGACTTGAAGTCGAAGTACCTGTTGGGATTTGCTCAGGAAGCACATACGGCATGCGCTCGATTCAGTCGTGGACAGCTTTGTGTTCGAGTCGGTCTATTCGCCAGCAGCACTACCGTACATGTGCATGGAAGAAAGCGATAGTACACGTCAGTGCCCATCGAGAGCCTTGCTGTCCAGTCGTTACACGAGCTTCAACAACGGCAGGACAAACGACGAAAAAAATACACGTCCTTCCTCAAGGCAGGATACAAAAAAAAATCAAGCTATTGGGTACGATGGTTTTTGTCAGAATCAGCACTGTCGTGAAAGTTGCTAAATATCTCAGTTTCATCTAGGGCTGCTCGCAACTTCCCAGACGAACCCTTCCAACGTGCCCTCCCTCTACTCTACCACCACCACGGCAGCAGTGGCGGTTGTTCTAGCGGTGGTATAGCAATCACCCCCCCCACCGCCCTACAGGCAAGAGCAGACTCACTTGTGTACGGCCATGACTAGCGTCCACGCGTCTATCCTCCAGATCAAGATTCTAGAGTTGCTGCTGCTCTCCAGCGACATCGACACGCACCCGTTCCCCGCTTGTGCCACTGCAAAAATGCAAAAACGGTTGGGGAGAGGCGAAGGGGGGGGGGGGGGGGGG